AGGTTTTTTCCTGGCTGAAATCCAACTGTTCATCAATCGGAAAAGTATGGCTGGACCCTAACGCCTGCAATATGGCAGTTTACAGTGCGCTGGGCTCGGAAGTTGCTAAGTATGAGAACAGACTCCCTATGGTGTTGTGGAAAGCGATTAAAAATGAAGTGGAATGTGAAGGAGCGAGAGAGGCTCATCGAGAAGATGGTTTAGCAAAGACTAGATATATGTAGTAAGGTGGAGCGTAATACTACTCTGTTAAATGTAGTGGTTGTGACATATATATTTTTCACTAGTGTTTTTCATATATTGTTGAATAAATAGGAAATTCTATATCATAGCATTTAGTTTGCGTTATGTTCTGTTGGAGTTTCGAACGTTTTACGCGAAGTGGTGAAAAACGCGATATGGAGTGAAATGAAAATACTCAGCGAATCACCCCGTATCACGTGAAACACATACCACTTGTTTTACTAGTGTTTTTCATATCACTAGGGTGAAGCTCGACTGATGGAAAATATGCCCATGTGTTGGTAAAATTTGTGAAAAATCTGAGCGTTGATTTCTGTACTTTTTTCCGGAATTTATATGTAGAGCAGTGTTGGAGTAGGAATATATGTTCGCTTTCCTCAGCTGAGCTCAGGAGTTTCCTATACAGTGTTGGAGTAGGAATATACGTTAGCTTTCCTCACCTGAGCTCAGGAGTTTCCTATACAGTGTTGGAGTAGGAATATATGTTAGCTTTCTTCAGCTGAGCTCAGGAGTTTCCTATACAGTGTTGGAGTAGGAATATATGTTAGCTTTCCTCAGCTGAGCTCAGGAGTTTCCTATACAGTGTTGGAGTAGGAATATATGTTAGCTTTCCTCAGCTGAGCTCAGAAGTTTCCAAAGCTAACTATAAGAGTGTAAAGAAACTTTATAAAATTTCGTCAGAATTTTCAACACATGTAGTAAACTCTGAGTAATATCAACATGATAACAATGTGAATCGATTGACACCAACGTTTTAGAAGCGGTACGTAGTCTATAGTCGTACTAGTCTCAAATTGAAGAACTTAGCCATCTCGAAAATCTACATATGCATACATACTGTATAGTTGAAAATTATCATAAACTACTACAGTGTAAGAAAATATACATGTGTTGATGACAATATGGAAAACCACCTCGAAAATGTAGATATGTATAAATACTGTATAGTTGAAAATTATCATAAACTACTACAGTGTAAGAAAGTATAAACATGTTCAACTACATGTGTTGGTGACAATATGGAAAACCACCTCGAAAATGTAGATATGTAGAAGTGGTTCTTTCACACTGTAGGTATTGGCTGGAGCACCAGCTGGCTGACCTTAAGAGGAGCGATCTTGATGAGGTTGATGTTGCTGATAAATTGGAAGAATTTAGGAAAAAAAGTCCAAATTTTCGCGGGCTTAGTTTTACGAGTACTATGTGTGTGTGGGCGTTGAGGAATTGCAAGATTGCAAGATTTTTACATTTTTCAGCGATTTCATCATTCGGAGCGAATGCTGCAGTTATCCATTATAGTCCTACGAAGGGAAGTGCGAGATGTGCTAGTGATAAGGAAATGTGAGTTGGAAAATGTTTGTGCATGCGTGCAGTGTTGGAGTAGGAATATATGGTTGCTGCATTTGAGAGTCTTTTCAGTAAATGTTGGTTAAGACTTCGCCGAAAATTTCAGCTTAGTTCGGGAAATTCCGCATTGATTGTAGAAGTTGATATATGAATTCGGGTAGAAGTGTACAGAAATTAATAATAATTTTCGAAATTGTCACCAACATATGTAGCTGATCATGTACAAATTTTCATATTTTTGTGCATGCGTGCAGTGCTGGAGTAGGAATATATGTTCGCTTTCATCAGCTGAGCTCAGGAGTTTCCGAAGCTAATTATAGAAGTTATAGTAGACACGTAAGAATTTCCCAAAATTTTAATACTATCATGATGATAGTATCATCAACACATGTAGTTTATCATGCATAAATTTTCCTATGTTTGTGTCTGCGTGCAAATATGAAATTTTTGTGTCTGCGTGCAAATATGATTTTTTTATCAAGGTATCTGGTGGACTCTGGAGGACAGTACTGGCAAGGCACGACTGATGTAACTCGTACCGTGCATTTGGGTACTCCTACTGCTGCTGAGAAGGATGCATATACTCGAGTTCTGAGGGGGCACATAGCGTTGGCGAAGCAGAAGTTCCCGGTGGGGACAGTCGGTCAGGCTTTGGACGCATTAGCCCGGCAGTATCTCTGGCAAGGAGGAATGGACTTTCGACATGGAACAGGTGAGTAGTAGTAGTAGTAGTAGTAGTAGTAGTAGTAGTAGTAGTAGTAGTAGTAGTGGTAGTAGTAGTAGTAGTAGTAGTAGTAGTAGTAGTAGTAGTTGGTGATGATGATTTTAAAATGGTAGTAGTTGATTTTATTAAAAATTTGAATAAAATGGGAATAATTTTATCAGAAATTTTAAACTAGAGTAGATGATGAGTTTCCATCATAGTAGTTTGTGATGGTTGGCAGGGTCGGAATATATGTTCGCTCTCCTCAGCTAAGGTTGGGAACTCCCTCGTTATTTATAAAAGTTGCTGTATGAATTCGGGTAGAAGTGTTGAGACTTTTTCGCACAATTTTCGTATTGTTATTACCAACACATGTAGTTGACCATGTGCATATTTTTCGATAGCGAAATTTACGTACTGTTTGGAGTTGAAATATATAAAAATTAATAAGAATTTCTTCCGAAATTTCTTCTCAGAATTTTTTCATATTGTCATCACCAACACATGTAGTTGACCATGTGCATATTTTTCGATAGCGAAATTTACGTACTGTTTGGAGTTGAAATATATAAAAATTAATAAGAATTTCTTCCGAAATTTCTTCTCAGAATTTTTTCATATTGTCATCACCAACACATGTAGTTGACCATGTGCATATTTTTCGATAGCAAAATATACGTACGGTTTGGAGTTGAAATATATAAAAATTAATAAGAATTTCTTCCAAAATTTCCTCCCAGAATTTTTTCATATTGTCATCACCAACCCCGTTACTTGTCAGGTCACGGTGTTGGAGCCTATCTCTGCGTTCACGAAGGGCCTCAGAATATCGGACCTCCTGGTCGTCCAGGGTAGTCTATAAAGGGATGATAAATTTCCTACTAATTGCTGTTTCACCACCCTAGTGATATTAAAAACGTAGTGCATATTTTTGTTGGCGAAAAACGCATGTGAGCGGTGAATAACGCGTAAAACACGTGGTATGTGTTTCACGTGAAATCTGGTGATTCGCGAAGTGTTTTCAATTTACTTCATATCGGGTTTTTCACCACTTCACGTAAAACGGGTGAAACAGCCTTGTGTATTTAGTATTCCGGAGCCGTTGAAGCCTGGCATGATAATCAGCAACGAGCCTGGATACTATAAGGATGGGGAGTTTGGTATTCGCATAGAGAGTCTGATGCTTGTCCGAGGTAGGTGGTAGGTCGCGGGTTCGATCCCTGCACCTGTCGTTTTTTCCGGAATATATTCCTCGTTAAATATAGGAGTTAGGCAGAAATGTAGAAAAATGAATAAATTTTCCTATTTATTAGTAAATAAAAAAGTTGACCGTTTTTCCACATAACGTCTTTTTTCCAGAATATATGTTCGCTTTCTTCAGCTGAGCTCAGGAGTTTTCTCATTCATAACGGAAAAATTTATACTCGAATTTATATACGAATTTATGCAGGAATGTAGGAAAAATAATAATAATGGTGTTTCACCCTAGTGATATGAGAAACACTAGTGAAAAACATATTTCACGACTATTGTAACGCGAATATCACGTTTTTCACCGAGTTTTACGCCACTTCACGTAAAACGGGTCGTGAAACTCCAATAATAACTTCCCAAAAATGATTCATATTTTTTCTGCACTGCATGTTGGTCTTTTTTCTCCAGAGTCCCAAGTTGAACACGCTCTAGTGCCCGGCCAACATTTGCTGGAAATGGAGACGCTGACTTTGGTGCCCATTCAGAAGAAACTGATCAACACTGAGGATATGAATGCCGATGAGATAGAGTGGTTGAATGACTATCACGCACGAGTTCTTGCCAATGCTGAACCACATGTAAGTGGAAATGTGAGATAATTATTAGTTTAAATTTGTATTATGAAATTGGTATTAGTGTGGTAGGCATTCGAGTATATGCTGATACTTGAAGAAGCTCTGTAGCAGCGAATGCATATTTTTTCTCTGGTTTTAGAGTTTATTATAGTTGCCTTATTTTGTGTCTTGTGAGGTTGTAGTAGCGAGATTATGTGTTTGGGATACTTACCAATACAGTGGCATATCACTATTTTCACAGTGTGTCACTATTTCCAATATACTAATACAGTAGCATATCACTATTTTCACAGTGTATCACTATTTTCAATATACCAATACAGTAGCATATCACTATTTTCACAGTGTATCACTATTTCCAATATACTAATACAGTGGCATATCACTATTTTCACGATATATCACTATTTCCAATATACCAATACAACAGGTGTACAGTTCTCTTTGTCAGATCAAAGACGAAGCCGAGTTGGCATGGCTGAGGGATGCCTGTGCTCCACTGGTGGAGACGACTTCTCCTCGAAAGCGTAGAGGATCTTCGAGCCGGGCTGAGAGTATTGATAAGAGACAAAAGAATGATTGAAGTTTTCATTTCGTGATTATTTTCTTGGATTTCGTAATTACTGGTTCTGAGTTGATCGTTAAGTGGGATGGTATGAACTGAGATGTCCAATTGGTCACTGTGAGAAGATTGGCCTTGAACACTGTGAGTAGGAACTCGGGCCGAGTACTCGGGCAATCAGCTCGGAATACCCTCCTTTCCGAGCTGTTGCACTTGAACAGAGATGTACTCGGATTCGGGGGACTCGGAACGGTTGGGCACTTGAACGAGCTCCTGGTCTGATATACTTTAGAGTGTTCCACATGGAGGAAACTAATCCGAATATATAACGTGTTCAACCAGAGAGGGAGATAATTCAACAGTTAGGATTAAAGAGATCGCGACAAGAAGCCGCGAAAAGTCTGATAATAATTATTATTATCAAAGCACTCCATTTTGATTTGATAGTTTCCTACTATCTAACGCTGGAAAGACGACAAGAGGAACTACTCTATAGAATAGCAGCTGACCTGGTGGACTGAAGAAACGAGTTTTCGTTTGAATAGGGGATGATCTTTGGTGTATTTTCCGAGCAAGGAACTGTGTCGTGTGATCCTTCATGTGGTCGTCTTTGATTTTCAATGTGAGCGATTCAATCGTGATTAAACATAAAGGGAAAAGTGTAGATTGCCATTCGAACTTCAGGGGAATCAGAAGTGATTACTGCGATTGATCAGATGAGGTGGTTGTTGCGCAGCGCTCTTAGAAGTGAGTGAAATGTTTGCAATGTTTGAAACTTCTGACCTCTCGTCTCGGTTTGTGTCCAACACTGACAACACGGCTTGGACAATTCCGATGCACATTCCTCATTCTCGGTCGTGAGCAACGAGGGTCGAAGCTGACGCGATGTTTGATGCCTGACGGTCATTCATGAGCGGTTGTCCATTCGGAATTTCAATGCTGGGAGGCGCACGAGCATGTCAATGCTAAGCTCTTGGGGTTTTTGTTATGAGAGTTCTGGGAGCCCTCTATAACTCATTCTCCCCGAATTGCAATGTTGCATTGTTGTCTTGATGAGATGAAACCCTCACAAAGGGTGGAATCTATTAACATCTTTCCTCACTAGTGAGGTCTGCTGAGCGGACGATGGTTCGCATGTTGAACTGAACATGCGGAGGGATTGAGATATTCTGTTCGACGTTCTAGTGCCAATGACTCTCAGTGAGTTCGATGCAGATTCCTGTTTGTGTTTAACCGATTTGGTGAGTATGATACGCCCTTCCCATATCGAATCTATCCTTCACCCTAGGTCAGTGTCGACACTCCACAGACCCTTCTCGAAAGGGCAACTGTTTCCGATGCACAACGAGAAGGAATTCTCAGAAACCTCCGATTAAAGTAGATGTCCAATGGGTACACAATCTTTCATGGAATGTTCGCTCAGCTTCAGAGATATCACTCTCCTTCATTTCTCGTTCTCTCAACTTCGTCAATATCAAGCCGTAGAACGACACTGGGGGATGCGGTGTCCGGTCTGAAACTCAGAATAACCGAGAATATATCTGTCTGTTGCCAACCAACATGGGAAAATATGCACATGGTCAACAACATGTGTCGGTGACAAAATGGATATTTCGAGGAAATTACAGATGCAACACAAGCTTCGGAATTGTCAAGTACAGCAGTTGTTTGCTTGTGAACACTTCCATACGAATTCGCGTATAAACTCCTATAATAACCTTGGGAACTCCTAAGCTCAGGTGAGGAAAGCGAGAATATATTCCTCCAACGAATGAACAGTAGTCGTCCACGAGAATCTACTACGAGCAAACTGCATCTTACCCTCACCCCGGATTCCTTCACTGAGCATTCGCCGCAGCCGATTGACTCGCCGTCGGTGGGCTGGAGGCTGAGGCACCTACGTCGTGTGAGATAACTAGCGAAACAGTTTACTTCACTCACATCATCTCCTGAGCGCTCCCGAACAGGACCAGCAGATGCACTCTCTTCAGCTTCGGTATCCTCCTCAATGTTCGACTGGACAAAGCCATCTGACATCTCGCCGGGTGGTGTCACGTGGGAGGATTCGGTGCTGTCGGCGGATTCCCCCAGGGCGGGCATGACCGGCACAAGGTCTGAGAGACAGCAGACTTGTGCGACCTAAACCATCGCTGGAATGGTCTAGTTGGTTATGACGACTGCCTAACACGCAGTAGGTCCCGAGTTCGATTCTCGGTTCCAGTATTTATCACTTGATGGTTCTTCTTCCACATCATCATCATCATCTTGCCGAGTTTCACGACGTGTATCGACCTCGAATAAACAAAACGATTAATGCGAACCACCAAGCCAACGACTTGTAACGAGCACACGAATCGCATAAGACATAACTTCTCGCGGGACCGCATAAAAGCAAGCTTCCTACTAATGAGCTTCCCTGCGAGTCGCGCCGCCGCCGACTCTCAGCCTCTTCCGCCGTACAGAACGCCCAACCGAGGTGCTGATCGGGAATGACCACTTCGTAGATGTGAACCAGCGCTTTCACAACTCGACATTTCCCATCGAAACACGCCAACAATGCTCTCGAGCTTCACCCAGCAAGCTTTCCAAAACAATTCCAATTAACGAGTTCAGTTCTGTCGTGAAAGTTTTAAAGCAAGGGAGGTTTAGTTTTTTCCACTCCTGAGTGGCAACTCGAGTAAGCAAGAAATGTGAATTAACCAGTGATGCATATCGGCGTATCGACTCAACACGTGAGAAGGGCGTCTTGAAATCCATGCTAAAATTGTCTCCCCTCAGTCACAGCGGAGCGAAGTTTTTCACGATGTGCATCCGTGACCACACCTGGATAGTTGCTGCGGTGTTTTGAGCTTCTAATCAGCAAATGAACTGTCAATTTTCAGTCACAATCAGCCGATACAACACGTGAAAAGGGCGACTTCCCGTTCCACTAGACCGTTTCATACCGCCCTACTGCTAGGCGGCGAATTAGATATCTTTTTCAGTTGCTTAGTATCAATCGCGATTCCACATATCCCACGCATATGAGTATTCCAGGGAGCGCTCAGATTTCCCATATACCCTACCACGCCACAGGTATTGCACATCGCCATCATCCACAGATACGGTGGAAACCAACTAAGACGAAAAATCAATATTTTTCCAGCGATGACTTTACCTGAATTCTCCCTCGGGTGAACTGGCGACTCTTATACCTCCATGTGGAAGTTCCGCCGGCCTCGCGCGACACACGTCGAAGCGATGCTCATGAGGGTTCGTAGCGCTGAAGTTAACGAATCGAACTTCATGCCAGGTTGGAAGAATATGCACATGTGGAAATTTATACGTAATCAGCTTTATGAAGTTGACAGAAATCAACAAGAATTGCCCGAAATTCCCACATTATCACCAACACATGTAGTTGACCATGTGCACATTTTGTGCCCCCGACAGCCAAAGGCGTCTCACCTGTAGCACCAGGCCGAGTCCTCCAGCACGTCAAGTTCATATGAATATACAACTTCCTTATAAATACTTTCATACCTGATCAGTAGGAATATATGTTCGCTCAAGAGTCTCCTCACTAATTATGAAAGTTTACATACGAATTCGGCTAGAAATATACAGAAATCATTGAGAATTTCCTCCCAGAATTTTCATATCGTCATCACCAACACATGTAGTTGATTGCCATGTACATATTCTCCCTCAACATCGTTGAGGTTTGCTTACTTCTTTATATACGAAAATCGCCGATTTATTGTAATATATGGCAATTCATCATTCACCTCAGCCTTGTGGGAACTTCAACCCGAAACACTACTTCGTGAAAAAAAAATTTTTTTTTTCCAATTTACCATTTTCACATACACAGAAAAATTGAGTATATATATTAATCAAGATTCACTATACTACAGGGTGGTGAAAAATAAAGAGAAATTTCGCGGGGTGTAACTATGGAGTTTTCAACCCGTTTTACGCGAAGTGGCGTAATAATACTCGGTGAAAAAGGCGCGATATTCGCGGTGATATGCAGTCGTCGTGAAATATGTTTTTCATATCACTAGGGTGGTGAAACTGCAATAAACTACTTCTACCTTTCTCGAATAATCTGCTCTTTTCCAACGACAGGCATTTGACAAAATTGACAAACAAGATACCTAATTGAGATTTTCCCTTCGTAAAAACCTCATAAAAATTACTACCAATGACGACACTCTTTTTCGACCTCCTGCTTCGCTCCGCCTTTTTCCATACATTCAACTTGTTGTTCGGTCATGGAGTGGATGAATATATGAGCTAACGAAAATAAAAAGGTAAATTTCAACGCTGAGAATTCACTGATAGCAGTTATCATATCAATTCGTTATAAGGTTGTGCAGTATCGGAGTAGGAATATATGTTCGCCGCTTCCCTCAGCTGAGCTCAGAAGTTTCCTATACAGTGTCGGAGTAGGAATATATGTTCGCTTCCCTCAGCTGAGCTCAGAAGTCTCCTATACAGTGTCGGAGTAGGAATATATGTTCGCTTCCCTCAGCTGAGCTCAGAAGTCTCCTATACAGTGTCGGAGTAGGAATATATGTTCGCTTCCCTCAGCTGAGCTCAGAAGTTTCCTATACAGTGTCGGAGTAGGAATATATGTTCGCTTTCCTCACCTGAGCTCAGGAGCTTCCAAAACTAATTATAGAAGTTTATATAGGAATTTCGGTAAAAGTGAACATACACTTCTACCCAAATAAGAATGAGAAGAGGGGAATCTGCACTGTCTACATTACACAATCGAGCTGTGCTCACACTAGCTTCGCATCATCACTGCATTCTCTCGGCTACTTTTCACTTTTCATCTGCTCTAGCTCATTTACCATGAGCCCATCTACTTATGTTGTGTTCTACAACTACGCCTACTTTAACGAGATAGTGCAGCAGTCATAAGATTTCCTCCAGATTTTATATGTCGTTGACAAGTGTAGCTGAC